GTTGACTTTGGGTCTTACATGGTTTGAAACAGTCTTTAAACCACCTAGGCTGAGAGCACATACAAGGCAAAGAGAAAAGCAATAGGATAAAGAATGCTGAGTCAGGAAGAAGCTAATCCTAGTGATTTAAAGTCAGCTATATGTCAATCCATGGCTGAATTCCAATGCATTCACTTTACAAAGAAAGACCTTCCATTTCACAGATCCCATATCATTCTCCACTGGGTGGTGGTGTGGTGTGGATAAGGGGTGCAGGTAGACTTGGACTCTGGCCCTAACTTTAGACAACTTAATGGCTCGGTGAAGCTGTTTTTCTCATGATTATGGTGAAGCCCGTTGGGAGGATCAGAGGCAGGTTGTTGAAACATGTGGCACAGTCCTTGGCACACAGTAGGCACTCAGGAAGTGGTGGGTATTACAATTACCATTTTTATTTTCCCCTCCTCAATTTTCAAGAGAAGAAACTGACTTCACAGCAGATGGCTACAAACTGATTTCTCCCTGAAAACCACAAGCAGGTGAATCACCAACCACCTGGGAAAGATTCTGCCATGGAGGGATTAAGCAAAAGAACCACAATTGTATTCCACTGGCATTTGGTGTAAATACAGGAGAAGGACGCGGACATGACAGTTTCTCCTCCTGCGAGACTTTCTGGCCGGGTGTCAGAACTGGCTTTTTCTTTGCCTGCATTTGAGCTGTCCATGCTTACGACTGTTGTTTGCATCTTTAAAATTGTCCTCCAAATTTTCCATTCGCATTCTACTTTGTCACTTTCCCACCCATTGCTGGAGCCATTTATTATTTGCCACGAGTCAGATGACCTGGGCAGCGCTCCAAGTCGTGCCTCAGACACCAGACCTAGCCCTAATCTCACTGAGCCTCCATCATCTCCATTGTTTAAAAAAAAAAAAAAACAAAAAAAAACGCTTATGTTTCATAGACTATACAGGGAATCTATAGAGATTAAAATTAGCGTGTGTGATTTTAAATATACTCACCTGACATAAACATAGAAGCACTTAGATACATTAAATAGGTGTTTAGATGTAATCTGGGCACTGGCTAGAGGCTGAGGAAGGAACAGGTAGAAATTCATTCCCAAGAAGAAAGGGAGAAACAGCCTGAAAACCTCAGCAGGTGATCTGCCTCTCACCTTACCCCTCCTCTTGCAAGCTGCCCCAGTACAAACACACAGAGCACAGGAATTTCTCCCAGACACCCACAATAAAACTCTAAACGCAGCAGTGTAAAGCTAATCTCTCATAAAGAAACAGTCTAATGAGGCAGATGCACAGATGCCCAGACATTATATGTTCAAAGCTTCATCGGCCTCCATCCTGCCCACACACACGTCCTCAGCCACACAGTGAAACCGCTCTCGCCACCATCTGGGGGCAGGGGTGTTCCCCAAGTGTGACAATATCCTTTCCTTTAATCAAGCAGACTAAGAAAATGTTACTAGAAACCCAAATAACAAAAGTAAAATTAAAATCAAGGCTCTAAATCATGGGGCTGAACAAAATGAAAAAGCAATATTCTGGCTTCCACCATCTTCCACCCAGCTTGCAGAGTTAGCATCTGGGTCTGGTTTCAATAGCCGCTTTGTGGCCCAGATGATCAGCACCACCATCCGAGGGCCCCCTGCTCCAGATAAGGACTGAGTGTACGCGTAAGCCTCGCTTTGAACCTGAAGCCCCTGTTCTTAAGTCACTTGTAGACTCAACAACCATAATTTTCAATCCATGAATCTGATGGAAATAAGCTTTAAGACTAACTTTCTCTGATTCTTCCCACAGATGGCCAGCCCAGCTTTCCAAAACTTACATCTAAAAGTGCAAAAGGATTACTTTTATTTCCACACCTCAGTCAGAGAATCACTGCATATATTCCCACTCAAACGCACACACACACCCCTTCTAACAAGGATCCACCTCTCCTTTTCCTTCTTACTCTACTTCCTAAGTGTACCACAGCTATGAATTCTCTTCTCCCTCTTTCACTCTCTCCCTCTCTCTAATGCACACACACTGATTTGGACACATGCCAATAGTTATCCACATTACATGGGAAGATGCACAAAATACCATGGCCCGGGCAGTAAGTGACGGGGTGGGGAGGGTTGAGGTGGGTGTGGGGTGGGGGGAGGAAGGATCTCCTAGGAGTGGAAACCGAGGACACAGGTGGGAGAGACATGGGGAAGTGGCTAAGCAGGCAGGTCAGCGAGAGAAACTAAACGGCAGACAAATCACACCTGTGTAAGAACTTCGACAATATGCTAATTTTGGTAAAGAAGTCAATATTCACTTTACTGCGCACACAGGTGAAGGAGAGGCAGTAGTCTGGGTGGGCCAATATTAAATAGGAACAAACAGCAGATCTGCCTCAGCAGTAGAGAGGGGAAGATGCTGGGCCAGTGATGCCTCCAGTTCACTGTGCCACTATGGGCCTCACTCCACCGGAACCATCACACAAGGGGTACATCCCACACTCTCTGAGGGCCCTATCCTAGTGCTAACCTTGAGGCTCTCAGAAGCTCAGTAGCATTCATTCACTACATCTCCTACTTTTAAGATATATACAAAATAAAATTATATGGTACAAGGTCTATCAGAGTATTTTTACAGGATGCAAAGTGCCATTTAGGACTAGGATAGATGACAAGAGACAAACACATTTATGGGCAGGAAAGGACTGCTTTCCCCCCACCAAAAAAAAAAAAAAAAAAGTTACAAGTGCTCCCTCTCACACTGTGCTCTCTCTTCCTCCTTCCTCATCCATCCCTGGATAAGGATCAGATGCCAGGGGTTCAGGCAGCATAGTATACTAGAAAGACAATGCGACTTACAGTCAAGTATTTATTGGCTACTTAATATTCCCAAATTACCTAAGCATCCCTGGTATGTTTCCTCATTTATAAATTGAGCATAAATGATCCTCAAATTACAGAGCAGTGATCAGAATAAATCAAACAGCATTATAGTAAAATGCCTGCACAAAGTGTCTAAGTATCTGTTACAATCCCTTCTTTGCACAGCAGCCTTAGTCTGAAAACCATCACACACACACACACACACACACACACACACACACACACTTCGTATACACAAATTCACAAAGCCATGCTCACTGCCTGTGACTGACAAGGAATGGGGGCAGGTACTAGCCTTTTGGTGTAATAATATCAAATATCAAATATTTGTAATATCAAATGTCAATTGGCCAATATCAATAATTGATCAATTATCAGATTATCAACTATCACTCTGTCTGTGATTAGTATAAGACTTTCTTTTCTCTTTCCCTTCCCTAAGACTCTACCACTGGAGCTACCAATATTAAATCAGATCGTGTGAATGTGCCCTTTCCATTCCTTCTAGCTACTCTGAAATACTTCCCAGGATAAATCAAATGCTGGTAGCTGTTTACCTGTAAATGATGGGGTATGGTATAAGGAATATGATTAGTTACAAAGTATTGGTTTTTGTCTAGTATTACGGGTTACTTTGGTCAAAAAAGACCAATATTTTTCAAACTACTGGTATCTAGGAATCTCAAATGCGAGTCAATCAGCATGTCTGATGAACACTTAAGAGAAAAGAGCCACTGCGTATTCCAGCCGGGGCGACAGAGTGAGACTGTCTCAAAAAAAAAAAAAAAAAAAAAAAGAATGCATTACATGTAGAAGGAGTCAGCACTACTTCATGAAATGTCTGTTTCAGTTACGTAAGTACCGTATGTATGTGAGCATATTGGTTGTGATGTAAAATTAATTTCACATGATAGGTCAGTCAAAAAAGTTTGAAAGCCATGGAAATGGAGCAAAGGAACAAGCAGAAGTCACAAAGGCCTGAATTCTCCCCACAAACTCTGTCCCTACAAATGGAGCTCCACAGTGAATCCCGCATTCTCCCTGTGTCCCACAGCTGAAAACCCCAAAGCTACCGGCCTGGAACCCATCCTCAGCTGCCATACTGGATTCCCCTTCTCCAGATCCTAACCCCTTTTTTCCCCACTCCATCCCACCTCATCCCAGAAAGCAGCCAAAATTTTCCTGCACGAACAGGCACTCCACACTCCAGCAGCTGCCCTGGAGACATTGACCGTCACACCTGGGTTTCCTTAAGCCCTGACACCACGACTCCTGCGATGACACCTCCTTCCCCCAACACCGAACAGCACAGCCGCTTTCAGAGTCAGAAGTCCCTAGCTGACCCTCCAAGGCTTCCTGGGCGCGCAGGGTCATTCTTCCACTTTCTATCCCCCGCGGACTCCCACCTGGAAAATGCACACCTCCCTGCCGGGTGGCTAGACTAAGATTATGTGGGCTAAGGCTTTAATTCTCCAAGCATCTCCGAAAGACAGCCTATCGGGGAGGCTTCTCCTTTAATCAGCCTTCAGCTGAAACCCTCTGCCCCATCCCTTAATGCTCCCGGCGTTAATTCCTCAAAATAATGCAGTCAGAGAAAGTGAACTTGGCCGCTAGGAAAGTTACCCAGGCGGAAGCTATGGGGAGCTAGAGCGAGCAGGGCGAGGGCGAGGGGGAGGGGGAGGCCGGAGAGCTCAGGGCGCTCGCCTGGCGGGGTTTCCTCCGCTCAACGTGAAAAACCTTCTAGCCCGCAAGAAAAGAAAACAAAACCCAACGCGGCCACAAACCGGATCTCCTGTCACTGGAGAAGTGCGAACACCACTGTGGGGCTGGGACTCAGAAGAGAGGAGAGGAGGGGAGGGGAGGGGAGGTCGGCGGGGCTGAAACAAAGCCCTCGGGGCCGCTCCGAGAGGCCGCGCGCCAGCACCCGGCTGCGCCCCGAGGCAGGGAGCTGGGGACGCGCCGACCCCCGCCCTTCCCCGAGCCCGGGAGCCCGGGGCCGCTGCTGGTGCGGGGTGCGGGGCCCGGGGCCGGGAGGGCAGGTGCGCGCGCACCGAGCCCCTCCCCCGCGCCCCCAAAGCCCGGGACACCCCGACCCTCCCCGAGCCCCCGGCCCTGGCGCGGCCCTCACCCGAGCGGGGGTCGAAGGTGACCACGAACACGGCCACCACCTGGTCCTCCTCCACGTCGCCCAGCTCCAGGCGCCCGGGCTGCAGCAGCACCTCCGGGGCGGCCGGCTCCTCGGGCTCCCGCCTCCGGGGCGGCTCCGCCGCCGGCCGGGCGCCCCCGCCGCCGCCCCGGCCCCAGCCTCCCGCCTGCGGCTCCGGGGCCTGCGGCAGGGAGACGGCGGGGCCCTCGGCCCAGCGCAGCAGCGGCGCCGCGTCTCCCTGCTCCACCATGGCGAGGCGAGGCGGAGCCGCGGGCGCGAGGGGCGGGGCGGGCCGGCTACGGGAACCCCTTTCGCCTGGCCGCGCCAACGCCGCCGCCGCCCGCCGGGTCTGGCGCTGCCCGGGGCCCCGCCGCGTAAGCGCCTTTCCCACGGAGCCGGAGCAGGCGTCCGCGGAACCGGCTTCGGGAACCGCCAGCCAGTTGGGAGGCGCCGGTGTGCGCGTCCGTGTGTGGGACGCGTGCGGCCGGAACGTTCATCCTTGCGTGCATGCACCTGTGTGCGGGTGGAGGTGCCTTCTCACCTAGGGTTCCGTGGTATAACTACCACTGTGAGTTTTTATGTCATCATTATTTTTTAAAGTCCCCTGGTCCTGTGGACCGTGACAGATATGTATTACATAACCCTGGATGTGTGGCAGAATCTGCTTCTAAGCAGCGGAGTGAAGCAGAGGCGCCCTGGCTACCCAGGTGTTTGCAATATAGCCATCAATAAACACTGAAAAGGCCATAGGATTAAGGTTTGGGAATTTGGCTCTTCCTTGTATATTGCAAACTGATTAGAATGGAGTATGAGTTTATTTCCTGGTATATATACAACTTGAGGGAATTAGGAGATGCTGGAGCGTTTGTGGGGCGAGGGATATTCCCTCAGAAGATCAGGAAAATGTTGCTCAGGGGAGAAAGAGAAAAGTCAGCTCTAAAGCTGATGGCTTTGGAAATTGATTAGGGGTTTTCTATGAACCCTCATTTTATATTTAAAAATAAATTTTAAATGCCTCAATCCTTGAGGTAAATCTAGCAGCTAAGCAACTCTTTAAGAAGAGATGTGTATAAAAATAGGAAGAGCTATTAAAATGGAAAGAAGGAGGTGGCAAGCGGAGGAGGTACACAGTTCATCCAGGGTTCAGCAAGTCTCCACGGTTTGCCTGTTCTCAAAAGGACTCAGTAGAGCTATGTGTTGGGTGTTACTCCAGGGAATGTTTATGAACATCCATGTCCTACACGCCAGCAGTGCAATAATAATGTGATTTAACCCGTATCCCTAAGGAGATAACCAATGACTGCCCTAGGCCGCCATTTCTAGTCTAAAATGTGTGATATAACAATAAAGAATGTACTTATGCAGCATTTTACCCCCAAGAACAGGGTCTACTTTCACTATTTACATATTTAGTTCAGCCTTTTCCCGACCTTACAAGGGCAAGTTTACAAGGGCAAGTAAGGGACCATTCAACGCTCGCTCCCTGGAGTATGTAGACAGTCACTGAAATAGATGAGGAGCCCCAGGCATGGTCCAGCCAACACCAGGGCCAGGGCATTATCTGGCTCATTCAAAGCACACCAGACTAGACTATATCCAAACTACTCCAAGCCAGATTCCAAAGCCCGCTACTTCAGAAGATCAGGCCATAGCCAAAGCTTTTCAGGTTGAGGCATTCAAAATTTTATTTTTAAATATAAAGTAGAGGTTCATAGAGAATAAACAATTTCCAAAGCCATTAGCTTTAGGGATGATGGACTTTCTCCTTCTCCCTGAAGGGACTTCCTTGTCCTGAGCTTTTGTAGGAATAGCCATCTTCCACCGCCCCCACCCCCCAGCACATCCTAGATTTAATACCCTCAAGCTGTGTATATACCAGGAAATAAACTCATAATTCCCCTCCCAATCAGTTTTTTATATAAACAGAAAAGCAAAATTTCCAAACCCTAAGCCTATGGTCTTCTCCAGTCTTCATTTGTGTGTATATCCTGGCTTATCAGCCACAATGTCTATCTTTAAATTCCTAGTGCATAACAAGTGTCCAACGAATACTTGTCAATTAAATATACGAATGAAAGTACAGACTTACAATTCTGTGCAATGGGCCCTCTTGTCAGGCTTTATGTAACATCTTGGACCTAGTAGGTGTTCAAAAATGTTAATGACAGTGATGACATCCCTCTTAGCACATGCATTCACAGTCTGATGGAGGTATTATACCTGACCATCAGTTATCTCCTCTTTGGTGACTGAGTTTCACAAGATGCTAGGGAGGGGAACTAATTGAATTTAGCTATTAGAATAGCTCTGCTGTTGATGAAAAGAAGAGAGGAAGGAGTCATCATATTCAGGGACCCTAGTCTGATGTAATATTTCAAAATGATTTCACCTAGGACACTGTATGTATAAAACTGAAAATTTATTTTACTTTCCCAAATACTAAATATGTCTATGTTATATCAAATACAGAAAACTATCTTTGATCTATAATCTCACCACTGAGTTGGCCACTGTTAAGATGTTGCTGATCCTATTTCATCAATTCTAGGATGCAAAAATGTTTCGTTTTTAATGTTGCCATAGTGACTCACGATTGCTGCTAGTCCCTGCTGAGGTCTAGTTCTCATAGAGGACATTTTGACTTGCTTTTGTTAGCCATCTGGAGGCACCACCAACCTGAGACTGCCTTGAATAAATTCTCCACTGAGGTTCATTCAACCACACAACCTAGCTTCAATACTGACTTGTAGTTCACATTCTTAGGCAAGATTTTTTTCTCCTTTCACCTAGTGACCCAGTTGAGACAAGCACGTTTTCTTGCTTGTCAAATCTCTCTGTGTGGGAGGTTTACTGGCCACAGTTTCTTCATGGTACCCCCATTAGACTTCTCATTTTTTTTATGATGAATGGCACATAAATATAATAGAACAGTCAGCCCTCCACATTCACAGGTTCAGCATCGGTGGCAACGTTACCTTGTTGCCGACATGCACTATGTAGTTAGGCCTAGGAAGGTTGCATCTGCACTGAACATATGCAGCCTTTTTCTTGTCATTTTTCCCTAAGTAATACAGTAGAATGACTGTTCACATTTTATTAGGTATTGTAAGTAGTCTAAAGATTATTTAAAGTATATAGGATGATATGCCTAGGTTACATGTAAATACTATGCCATTTTATATCAAGGCCTTGAGCATCCATGGATTTTGGTATCCATGGGGGTCCTGGAACCAATTCCCACAGATACCGAGGAAGGACTATATATCTTAAAATAGATATATTTATGTTTACATGTTGAAATTATGCTCTATATCCATTTTGTGTTATTTTTACCCTTAACATCAGAATATGAACAATTTGAGATCTGATTTAGAAACTTTTTATATGCATCCTTTTTTTGTGTGTGTGAGATGGAGTGGCCTGCATCATTCCTATGTATGTTTTGCGTTGTATGTGTGTTTGATCATTTACTTAGCCATCTTTCATTGCTAGATAGTCAAGACCCTCCCTTTTTGTTGTGCCTAAAGTTTTGACCAAATATCATTCTTACTAAGCCCTGTGATACTAAGCCCCGCGCATAGCACTGGGACAGCTGGGAAGAAAACAGACGTTCCTTCTCATCAGGCTCACAGCCAGGCAGGAAAGACAGCTTCAAGGCAAGAAATGAAATATAGAATGAGGGGAGACAGGTAGGGCAAATGTGATCTGCCATTCAGGTGGCTGGCTTATGATAAAGGTGGCAATGTTGGGTTAAAGTGCGTTCACAATTTTAAGGTTCTCTTGATTGTGCTGCCAAATTGTTGATTCACCAGTGTATATGAGTATCAGTTTCATTTCATCCCTGTCTAAATGAGGTATTGCCACTTAAAATGGTTTTTGCCAATTTGTCAGAGGAAAATAACATTTTGTTCCATGTTTATGTTTTGTAATTAAATCTCTAATCATGTTTTCAAACTACATGTTGGCGAATTGTGGTTCCTCTTCAGCACACCGTCTGTCCGTGATGCCCTTTGCTTGCTTGTCCTTTGCTCATTTGCACTGTCTTTCTGTGATGCCCGATACTCATTACCAATCTGTATGAGTTCTTTATGCATAAGAATATTAATCTTTTGTCTGGCATAATATTTAATATTATTTAATTGTTAATATAATGTATTGTATGTTTCCAATGCCATTTATTTGCTACATAATCAGTTTTTTTGTGATTTCTTTTTTTTTTTTTTTTGAGACGGAGTCTCCCTCTGTTGCCCAGGCTGGAGTGCAGTGGTGCGATCTCGGCTCATTGCAAGCTTCTCCTCCCAGGTTCATGCCATTCTCCTGCCTTAGCCTCCCGAGTAGCTGGGACTATAGGCACCCACCACCACGCCCGGCTAATTTTTTTGTGGTTTTTTTTTTTTTTTTTGGTGGAGACGGGGTTTCACCATGTTAGCCAGGATGGCCTCGATCTCCTGAACTCATGATCTGACCGCCTCGGCCTCCCAAAGTGCTGGGATTACAGGCGTGAGCCACTACGCCCAGCCTTTTTTGTGACTTTTTATGTTGCTTTGACATTTAGAAAGTTAGTCCCCCACCAAAAATTTGATCAACATTTACTTTATTTTTATTTTTTATTTTTTCGAGACAGAGTCTTGCTCTGTTGCCCAGGCTGGAGTGCAGTGGCACGATCTTGGCTCACTGCAACCTCCGCATCCCGGGTTCAAGCAATTCTCCTGCCTTAGCCCCACTAGTAGCTGGGATTACAGGTGTACGCCACCATGCCCAACTAATTTATGTATTTTTAGTAGAGACGGGGTTTTGCCTTGTTGGCCAGGCTGGTCTCGAACTCCTGACCTCAAGTGATCTGCCTGCCTCAGCCTCCCAAAGTGCTGGGATTACAGGTGTGAGCCACTGCACCCGGCCCTCTTTTTTTTTTTCTTTTTTGGTTATTTATAAATTGATTTCCTACATTTAATTTCTTAATCTAGTCAATGCCTATATTGATACGTGGTAAGAAGTAAGACTACAAATTTTGCATTGAACAGTTAATCAATAATTCCTACATGACTTATTGAATAGTTATTTCACTTCCTATGACTTATAATTCTCCTTTAAATACAATAGTAAATTTCTGTATGTATCACTCACCATTGACCTGTCTGTTCTTACACTAGTACCACACTAATTATTATACATATATTTTAAACTTTTATTTCCATGACAAGTAGTCTTGTTCCTTTACTCTCTAAAAATTATTCAGCCATTCTTTGACTATTATTTTTCCATGTGAACTTTAAAATCATTTTATCTAATTTCTCAAAAAAGTGAGTTTTCATTCAAATTGCATGAGAAATACATATTCACCGTATGTAAGGCAGGAAGAAATAGCATCTTTCTATCACTGAGTCATTTTATTCTATCTTGCAGGAATAGTGTTCCATAGAGGTAAGGAATAGGTAGCTCTGCATTCATCATTAATATGCATAATTAGTTGCCAAGACAAATACTGATGATCCACACAGGAATCCAAATTGTGAGGCAAGCTGAGGTGTTACAGGGATGAAATTAAGAATGGACAAGATGGGCCGGACGCCGTGGCTGATGCCTGTAATCGCAGCACTTTGGGAGGCCGAGGCGGGCGGATCACGAGGTCAGGAGATCGAGACCATCCTGGCTAACACGGTGAAACCCCGTCACTACTAAAAATACAAAAAAAAATTAGGCAGAAGTGATGGTGGGCGCCTGCAGTCCCAGCTACTCGGGAGGCAGGAGAATGGCATGAACCCAGGAGGTGGAGCTTGCAGTGAGCCAAGATCGCGACACTGCACTCCAGCCTGGGCGACAGAGCGAGACTCCGTCTCAAAAAAAAAAAAAAAAAAGAATGGACAAGATGAAGAAATAATCTTTGTAGTGGTCTAAGGAATATCTATACCCTTATCTGTCCTGGAAATTGAAGTTCCACAGTCAGATTCTGAGAGTACCAAAAGCCCAGTGCATCCAGGGACTTCCTGGGTACATCTGCTCCAGTCTCCCTATTTCCTGACATCTACTTTATACATTAGACCACACTAGTCATAATATCAGCCCTGTCTGCACTAGTATTTCTTTCCCAAGTCATCTGTGCTACAGGTGCTTGTTGGCGTGGCCCAAGTTTAAAGCACAGTAAATCATATCCCGCAGAGGTTACATTCAGGTTGTGCCAGAAATGGTATAGGGATTCATAAAATGATGTAGATTTTAAAAATTAATACATTATTTAAAATCTGCAAATCCCTCCCTTTTAGTCCTCTTCAATTTGTATTGGGGCTGAAAATTAAGTTTGAAACCTCATAAAAGCTATCCGTTCTGCAGTGGTGTCCATCATGGGGATAGATAGGATATATAACATACTTGATTCACTCTGGACATGTTTATTGAGTCTACCATGTGCCAAGACTTGATCCAGATAATGGAGATAGAGCATCAAATAAGAGTTAAGCCCCTCTCCTCATGGAATTTAGATTCTGTTGGGGGTGGGGTGGGGGAGACAGACAAAATTAAAAATGAATCATTAAATATATACTGTATGATGTAAGGATTCTTGCTGTGAAGGGACGTGACACAGCAAGGGGCCAGTGAATGAGTATAGGTACTCTTTAGGGTTATCATGGAAGACCTCTCTGACAAGTGACCTTTGAGCACACACCTGCAGGAAGGGACAGGGCGAGTGAGATGTGGAGAAAGGGCATGCCAGGAGGAGCAAAGGTTCTGGGGCAAAAAAGATTTTGGCATCTGAAGGAATAGTGAGGAGACTAGAGCGGAATGCCTGATGGGGAAGATGGCAGGAGTCAGACAGGCTGGAGATGGACCATGTGGCCCATGGGCCTTGGTGTGAGGGCTGGCTCTGTCTTCTGAGTGAATTGGGAGGCACTGGAGGATTTGACTCCAGGAATGTCAGCATCTGGGCTGGATACAATTTTCTAGTTTCTTATGTACTTTCATTTTATTTCACTGTAAGTAATAATGGATATTTCTATTTTTGGACGGGAGTCTCACTGCATGTCACGCGAGGCTGGAGGTGCACGTTGCGCGATCCGCCTCCAGCTCATTGCAACCTCTGGCCTCCCCGTTCAGAAGGGGACTTTTTCATGCTCTCAGCCTCCCAAGTAGCTGGGATTGCAGGTACCAACACCAACACCCTGGGCTTTTTTGTTATGTTTTAGTAGAAGACAGGGTTCGCCATGTTGGCCAGGGTCTCAGACTCCGAGCCTACAGAAGTGGTCTGCCTGCCGTCAGCCCGTCCCAAAAGTGCTGGCGATTACAGGTATGAGCCACCGGCACCTGGCCTTGGATATTTTTAAAAGGGAGCACTGGGCGGGTATACTAGGTGGTTAGATAGAAATCAATGAGGCAAGGGCAAGAGCAGGGGATGCCCGTGAAGAGGAGGCTGTTGCCTTCAGGGAAGAGACAGGATAGGACTGAAAGGATCGCTTACGGATTTGATGTGGGGTTGCAGAGAAAGAGAGGAGTACTCACTTGTTTCCATTTCCTGACATAGTAAACATCACAGGAGGAGTGGATGTGATGGGGAAGTTTTGGACATGTTAAGACTGAAGCCTTGTTAGACATCCAGAGGCAATTTGATATGGCAGTCGCAAATCTGAAGTGTAAGTTAAAGTTCTGTGACTTGGACATAAATTCAGAGGCTACCAGCTTACAGTTGGTGTTTCAAGCTGTGGGCTAAGTGATATTCCAAGAAAGAGAGTGTATACAGAGAAGAGGAAAATTTGGGGGAACAGCCCAGAGGCCTCCAGAGTTTAGAGGTCAGGAAATGAAGATGAAGGAGCAAAAAGATTCAAGCACCTTATGGGCCAGTTTAAAAAATCTGTGCATTTCTGTGTTTGCTTGATTACATTTAAAAAGTTTATTTTAAACATTTTAATGAGTATGTATTTATAGCAAAAAGTTAAATGATCAAATGCATGCAAGACACACCGTGCAGCAATCACCTCCTCTAACCCCGCCATCCCTTTCTCCATCCTTAGAGACAGCCACTTTTCACAGTTTATCATCAGTTTCTAGTAGTTACCTCCTGTGGAAGAGCTTAAATTCTTCTTTACCATACTTCAAAAAATCATAAAATGTTTTATGAAGGTAAAACTTCAGTGCAGGAACCTCGTGACTGGATCAGAAGGATGAAGAAGTAGCTGGGGATGTGTGACCAAGTTACTGGTGACTTCCAGAGCTCATCCCTTGGAGCACTGACAGTGAATAAGTCAAGACTGAGCACAGTAGAGATCCATCTCTGAGAATGTCTCTTCCATACCTGCTCATTTCTTCCCAGCGAGGCGGTGTGTGTGTGTGTGTCTGTGTTTGTGAGTGATGTGGGAGAGGCAGAAACAGACATACACACACACACATACACACACACACACACACACACACACACACAGAGAGAGAGAGAGAGAGAGAGAGAGAGAGAGAAAGCTTATTTCTGTGGCTGGGGGCTGTGGGGCTGGTCTTGGTGCAGGTCACACAGGTGACCTATTACCTGTTCTAATGTTAGGGAATCTGGGAATGACCACAGCCCAACTGTGACTAATAGAGAGAAGGTCAGACTAGTGGGTCTATACCATCGTTTTAAAATGTATGCTCCTTAAACTATTGGTAGGATATCATCAATCTCTAAATTACTGGGACATCAAATCAGAGACCTATTCCTAGTCTAAGAATGCTATGTCTTGTGTGAGTAGACAAGTGGTGTGTTTCTACTGTCACAGCTATTTTGATGAATAATCTCTAGTTCTAGCAAATGGGAATATTTGGCAAGAGAAGCAGTTTGTTAAAATCTGTTTGATTTATTCATCAGATAGATTTATAGTAGATTTCAAATTAATAGCATAACCTAGGGGTTTTTATTAATGACACCAAAGTGTCCATGGGTAAAATACGTTGTCACTGATTTGCTTCAGAATACCCCAACACTCACCCTCAATGAAGTTGCAGGTATGAACGAAACAAGACTGTAAAGCCATACGTAATTTTTGAAGCTAGGTTTTGGACACATAAGGATTCATTTTAATATTTTCTCTATTTTTGGTATGTTTGAACACTTCCAGAAGAAAAAGTTAAATAAAATGGAGAAAGTGTTAATAATAGACTCCTAGGCTTTCAAGCAACCTCCAGGCTTTATTTACTTATCCCATAATCTTTCCTTGGAATTCTGTTGTGCCGGCAACGCCACCCATGAGATACAGTTTTATGAGCAGTTTGAAATGAGAAATGTGATGGGCAAATATCAAGTATTGTTAATGATTTATGTAATTATCATTGGATTCATCGCAGCTGACAGGTGGCTGCTTCTGAACACTCTCTCAGCAGACAGGGAGATTAGGAGAAGGTCCCCCTTCAAGGTTGCTGGCTTTGCTGACCATCCTTGTCATAGGAACAGAACTGTGAGGAGTCAGGAGCACTGGAGACCCCTGGTTTCAATGGATCCACATCCACTGCAGCGGCCCCAATCTGGACCTGGTCAGTGTTGCCACTGCTGATGGATTTGTCCAGGGAGCGAGAGAACATACGCTGGTGATTAAAATAATGTTTTCTCTAAGTTACTGCAAACTTTCTCCTGTGTAGTTGAGGCAACACTTCCAGTTGTGGTGAGAGATTGGACAAAAGAAAAAGAAAGCATACAATGTTAAAGCTGGCAGGACCTTAAAGACACTGCCTAGCCTTCTCACTCAGCAGTAAGTTGCAGATGACTCCTCCAGATCTTGATGAGGCCCGCAGGCCCTCGTTTAAGAACCTCGCTTGCTGCTTTCTTGCTTCTATGGGGCACGTTCTGGTGATGAAGGCCAGCTGTTTTTCTCCACCAGCCTGGAGTTCTCTCAACTTTGTTTCTGGCTTTCAGAGTCCCTGGCCAATTGTCTGGAGGCCCAGAGAGCCACTGTTAGTCTAAGGTCGCTTAAAAAATAAGGCTAATCCCGGTCCTGGATTCTGCCAGATTCCTAGAAAGACAGTGAAATTGTCATTTCGTGCTTGGGAAACCAGACTTCACAATGGTTTTCAATGGGACAGTCCATCAAATATGTAAGAATCCAACAACATTCTTTTTTCGGAGTTGGAATGACTCAGTCCTAATTCAGTCTTAAATAAATAATGTGCTGGACCTTTACTTAGGCCCGTTTAAGTGTTTTTTTTACAATTCTCTACCCTGACTGAGGGGACAATTAGGCCAGCATGTTCTTCCTTGGAGCGACAGACTCTCAAATAGCTCATTTTCCACGGCCTTAGCTTTACTTTGACAACAGGACAGTCTATCCAGGAAGGTGAATAAAAGTTTCCACCTCTTGCAAATTTGAATAGATAGATTTTCCTGCTTCTGTTCTTCCCATCAACATTTCATAGGCCTCAGAACCCAGTCTGGTCATAGTGGAGTCTAGGTGCTTCCTTATCACTCAGCAGTGTGTCTGCAAGGGGAGAACTTCCTTCAAGCACACAGTTTAGGGAACTCAGCCCTGAAATGCAAGGGTGGCCTCCTTCTTGTACATCTTACTCCTGGGAACTTCGCTTTCCCCCTGTGCATCAACTCCTGACATATTGAGAAAAAAATCCAAACGCTTTTTAAAAAAAGTCAAATACAGAGTATTTTAAACATGATTGAAATATATTAATTTACTTCCCCAAATTCATCCTAAAACAATGTATTAAACCCCTACTATATGTCAGGCATTAAAGGGAAAACCCTCTCCTTTTCCTCTTATTGCCACAGATTACATGGGTCCCCCTTTTGACACATCATCTCAACTATGACCTGAAGGTTTATGTCAGGATGGATGCCTGTGGGATTAACATATACTGAAGCAGAGATAAAATTTTTCATAATGGAAAGAGGCTAAAAATTAAGAAAAGGCTACAACATGACCAAAAAAATAGTGAGGCCATAGGTAGCACCTCTAGGGATTCCCTTGGGTCATCCAGATCAGTTAACTATGCAATTCTTATTATTTAGTTGTCCAAATTTGGGATATCTTTTTTGTGCTCATTGTTACACCTTTCTTATTCTGAAGACTTAGCCACAATCATTATCTTCTGAGTCACAATACATGAAAAGGTGAATGGTCCAAGTTTCTAACAGTATTACTGCTGATAACATGAGATCTCAAGCATTGCAATGGCATAGCTGCCTCCCTAGGCAAACAATGTAGTCATAAATATGGGTAATCAAGAAGTATAGCAAGAGAGAGAGAAAAAGCAGCAGGTGATGGAAAAAAAAAAAAAAGAAAGAAAACCTGGTCTACTTGGGTAATACCCAATAAACCAGCCCCTGTGTCCTGCCTCCAGGACAATAATATAGCAGGTGTTTTGAGTCAGTCCTGCTTTACTGAGAGCAAAGCCAGCCTCTAGCTGGCCTGGAGAGGCAGGAATGACAAGCCATGGAATGGGAGGGGAAATTGATCAACATCAAGGCTGTAGAAAAGAAATTCTATCACCTGGCTTGCTAATTTGTAAACAAGACACTCCTAGGCTGAGAATCCCAGTTGATAATAATTGCATTACTGGTAACCTACAAGTTCTCCTTTTTCTTTGATTATTCTGTTTTTTTTTTTTTTTGGCCCCTGTAGGATGCTGAATCTCTGGCAAAGGTGGGCAGTGAGTGATTGCATTTTGTGAGCAATATTTTACCCCCTGTTGAATTATCTGGCATAGTTTGTGTGGGTGGGAGGCTGTGGAGAAGGGCCAAGGAAGGATGAATTGGTGTGCCCACCTACAAAGGGCTGCAGCATGAGAAGGCTTTGAGCTGAAAAAACACATTCAAGTCTCCCCAGTTAGTTTTCATTTGGATTACCCTCGTCAGGAGTTCTGGTTGGGAATGGGGAAGGAATTAGGAGAAAGTGGTGGAGAGATCTGTGAAGAGAGGTAAATGGAAGAGGCTTGACAGGTATCAAAGTCTGTAAAGAGAAGGGAAATAACATTTGTTTCAAACTCATCAAGCTGCCTTGGTTCCTGTCTCTCTTTGGGCCCATGTTTATCATGTAAATAATTTCTCATTTGCCGTCCCTCTGAAGCCTCCTTGAGGGGCACGAGTGTATCATTTTCCTTTTACATGGACTGCCTCTCACATAGTTTTCTCCTATAATGTGATATCAGTGAGGCCTTTTTCCTTTGACATACCTATACATTGTGTAATGATTACCAAAAAATTACCACACCCATGCCCACCCATGCTGTACATTAGGTCCCCAGAATTGTCCATCTTATATCTGAAAGTGTGTACCCTTTGATCAGCATCTCCCTATTTCCCCTGCCTTTCCAGATCCTGGTAACCACCATTCTCCTCCCTCCCTCTAGGAGTTCGACTGTTTTAGATTCCACAAATAAGTGGAGTATTTGTAGTATCTGTCTTTCTGTGCCTGGCTTATTTCACTTTAACATAATGTGCTCCGGGTTCATCCATATTGTCACAAACGGCAGACTTTCCTTTTTTATGAATGAGTGATATTCTAGTGTGTGTGTGTGTGTGTGTGTGTATCCACTGCGTTTTCTTTACTCATCTGTCCATGGATATTTAGGTAGTTTCCATATCTTGGCTGTTGTGGATAATGCTGCAATGAACATGGGAGTGTTGGTATTTTTTTGAGATAATGATTTTATTTTCTTTGGCTGTATAACTGGAAGAGAAGAGAGACAGCTGGATTGTATAACAGTCGTTTTTTTCTTCAAAGAGTTTTTCATCCTTCTCATGGGGGCTTCTCTGAGAAAGAAATTAAATAACGTGTACTAAAGATATTAAAGAGCGTTTTACAAAATAAGGCATTTTTGGTAAAAGCCATTGCTGTTTTCCAGTGATCAATATCTGTTTCTATGTGTTGCTGATCTTTCTAGCCTTTCTTTTGTCAGTTTAAATTTTTGTTCAATTCCCTAGAAGCTTTAACTGCTAACAGCTAACAGCTGCAGGAGGGAGATGCCTGAATTAGGGCAGGTGTGTTTGGCACAGAGCTAAGCTGTGTCTCTGTCAGGGATACAAACTCCAGTCAAGATATGTTAGAGGCTGTTTAAGGATCATTATGATAGCCAGGTGATGCTAAATTGTAATTACCTGCTGTTAGCCATTGGGTGGGTAGGGAGAAGAATGGAGGGGGGGGTGATATTTATAAATGGCAGGTGTAAGGAGTGAAAATAATTTGTTTTCAATATGAGCTTATTCCCAAATTGGCTAACGGGTATGTTTAAAGCCAGGCTAAATTAAAGGAATCCAATTTTCTCACTAGTATTTGGTAGCACATGGGTTCAAGGAGACTACATGTCATATCCAGAAGAGTTCTGTACATGAACTGGACTTAATTGCTCCGAGAGTCACTGGAGCTTTCTTTAATCAGAATGGAAATCAGGATAAGCTGAGGTCTTATAGATTGGTAATACTTAAGGCAGAACATTAACACCGTGCCTTGTAGCTGTTAGTTGGTAGAGGGAAATTCAGGCTACCGTCACAAAACCTGCAGGTTAAATTATTTTCTCCTCCCTGCTTCTGTAGGTTCACAGGGTTCCCTTCTGATCGAGTTTTTTGCCTGTGTTGTAAAGCTCTTTGGCTGAGATGGATGACAAAGATATTGACAAAGAACCAAGACAGAAATTAAACTTTTCCTATTGTGAGGAGACTGAGATTGAAGGGCAGAAGAAAGCACAAGAAAGCAGGGAGGCTTCGAGCCAAACCCCAGAGAAGGGTGAGGTGCAGGATTCAGAGGCAAAGGGTACACCACCTCGGACTCCCCTTAGCAACGTGCAGGAGCTCGACACATCTTGGGAAAAAGACAACGAAAGTCCAGATCAGATTTTGAGGACTCCAGTGTCACATCCTCTCAAATGTCCTGAGACACCAGCCCAAGAAGACAGCAGGAGCAAGCTGCTGCCAGGTGACAGCCCCTCTACTCCCAAAGTAAGTAAGGGGTGGGGGAAAACGGACCCAGGTCGCCAAGCTCCGCTTCCTGTAATTTAGCTGATAGTGACAGTGGATTCATGTGTGTATGACAGTCACTTCCAGGCTGTGGATGTTCTCAATTACATATTTATTGATGAAAATAAAGAAGAGATTAAAATTACCAGAAAATGGACAGAATTAAATGGTTTGCCAGCTGTCTTCTCAAAACCATTGGTGCCAGTAACTATTGGCTATTGGCCACAAACAAATTTTGGGTAGAAAAACGTTCCTAAAGAATATTGGACCTGGAAGGAATATTGAGATTTAGAGCCCCAGCTGTGCACTTTACATATGAGAAAATGAAGGGCCCAGGACAGAAGCTGTCTCATAGCTCAGCCAATGTTAAGAGACAGCACTAGAAACCTGATCTTTTTGGCCTAGTCTGTTCTTTCCATTACGCCAACTGGCTCTATTTTTGTGTGATTATTTGCTAATACTTTCTAATATAAGAATGTCCAGATTCACTGTTCGAACACATTCATCTCTCTGCTGCTGCTCCTCCCAGAAGAAACTCCTCTCCCCTCCTTGGTCTCGTGAAATACAGGTTCTATTATATGTCAGCAAAGACGAAACTTGTTGATACTTCTTTATAAGCTGAGGATGGCAAATAAGCAACAGTCCCTGGTAGCATATTCCTTTATTCTTGTTGTGATTGGTGTCCTGTTGCATCGTTCATGTTCTTAAAGCCATAGTTGGGGCAGGGTTACCTCTAATCAACTCTGGTGCCATGATGTGTGAGTGCTAGGATTGGTATTAGCTCTGCTTCCTGCTGGCTCAGCTTGAGGCACTTAAGATCATCATCATAACATCTGTGATCCTGACTGCGGCACAGTTGCTGTCAGCGGGTCTCTTTAGTACCTGCTGGGTGTGGGTACCATGTATACCAGGAAATTCTAAGCTGCTTGTTTGAATTGTAGAAAAACTAATATGCTCTGATGTCTATCTCTGGGTTTTTCAATGGTCACAGCACCAACCAATTAATCACCCATTTACTCTTTGAGAATTCCCTGTAGGTAAGGAGCATATAATACAGTCTCTGCCCTCAAAGAGCTTACAGTCTAGCAAAGAGAAGTTATGCCAATAGACACTATGTGATAAGTGTGGTCAGAACCCGCTGGACACATTCTCAGTGCAATGATCAGAAAAGACAGGTATCGGAAGGGCAACAAAAGTTGGTCCAGTTTTGATATATGGGGGAGAATGGGCTGAGAGAATGTGGCTTTGAGTAAGAGTACACCGGGAAGAAAACATGACATTCATTTGATCATTCACAGCTTAACTGAACACCTTGATATGTTAGCAGATCCTCTGCTGGCAAAACCCATTCACTGCCTTCAAAAAGAGCCCACAAAATGAATAAAGATTAAATAAATTAAACAATAAAGTTCAAACCATGTGTACTAGAGGAATGGTTGAGCATGATGAGAAGGAATTAGGAATTAAATCTCAGGGAAGACTTTCCAAAGAAAGTAATGTTTGAACGATGTCTTAAAGGATATTTAGTTAGCCAGGCAAAGAGGGGAATAGGAATTCTAGGCAAAGGGGAAAGCATCTATCAAGTTACGGAGGGTAAGGAGCTACTACACTTGGAAAACAGCGTGTTATTCAGTGTT